AGAGAGAGAGAGAGAGCAATATCGTTGCGCTCTTTTCTCTCGTAGAATGTTGGGGCGGGCACACAACATATGCTGCATATCACATGGATGTGCGCCCGCTTAAAAATCACTCCCCATTGGCCCACCCTTAATTGCCAATAACTTTTTAGGGGTGAGTCTGATCACAAAGTGCAAGAGGAATTTTCTGCTCAGAATCACCTCCTGATCCTAGGGTGTTCAGATGTACATGTACTTCTGAAACACCCTGTATAACTCCTGCCTGGGTTAGATTTCCTTTTTATATTTTATTATTTTTTTCATGAATCCTTGAACAATTAGTCTATAAATTCTTCGAGGTTTTTGAGGGCAACATAATATATTATGCATAAATAAGTATGGACGTCCGCATAAAAAGGGCCGACCTTGTCGATTCTAGTTTCCGATATATTCATATTTTAGTCTCCACGAATTCCATTTAAACTATTGTTAAATTATTTTTCATCACACTGTGTGAAAGGTGACATTTTGTGCAGGCTCCGCGTGCGCAAAATTTTGCTCCCTACATATTGTGATGATTGCCTACATACCTCCCAAACGTTAAAAACCATTTTTTTAACACTGCTACTACGTTTAACTTGTATTTGTAAATGATGGTGCGAAGCGAACGAAAATAAATTCGGCAAGAAAAATAATATAAGAGGTACCACTTGGACTTACCTAAGAATCAAAATAAGATAGTTACGATGAGTTTTATGCTAATGGGTTCAATTTTACCGGAATAATTCCATTCAAGTACTTAATTTATGAAATATTTATATTTAGAGTTCAATGGATAATAAAAAATTACTGACTTTTCATGGACATACTCATCCGATCGATCGTGAATAATTCAAACAATTGTAACAATGCCAAAGAAAAATCATATAACGGTCCCAATGATCTCATTACCCATTCGTCCACTCGTACATCAATACTTTTTTAATTCAACAACCCACTATGCGCGACTCATTCTTCTGAAAATCATTCCTTCCCTTCTCTACGTTGTTCTTAGTTTTCCAAAACTTTTAATCCCCTGATTTCTCCCAATACTGCTCCCAATAAATGTTCAAAGACTTATCTGCGATTCCTCCGTAAATGAATTAGCTCTGTAAATTTGTCAGTAACTACCCGCGGCTTCCACAAACGCCCAGCGTTGGCGTATAATCCAACGATGCTCCGACGCGCCTCCCGCGTCACCGTGATCGTTCGATCCAGAGGAGAAAATTTCGTGTCCTCATCTGTGTCAGGATGAAGATCTCCACCATCCGGTCACCTCCAATCGTCACCGTGGGATCTAGTGGCCTGCTAAATCCAAAACACTTGGAATTATAGGTGCCCTTGGTCAGGAGAGATCTGCGTCGATGAGTGCAACCGTCAACTCGACCCCTAGAGACGGATCGATACGTGACAGCGTGGTGATGTACACACGTCCGGGGCTGGAGGCAGAAGAAGTAGATCGCGCGGGCGACTCCTTGGTGTGACCACAATATTTTGATGCGCGTATTAATGTTATTTGTGACCATAGAACATGTGATCTATTTCAGAGCGCGAATATTGAACCCCTTAATTCCTCACAAACTCATGCCCAAAAGTGCCTTCTGTTTATTCATAAACGAAAAGTTTTTTCCTTTACTTGTCCTATTTTAAAAAAACACTTAAAGTCGATAACTATCGATATCCCACAAGTCTATCACGCTTATTCCTCATCGGCTCCAGTCGTCTGAGACGACAAATTTCATTCATGATTAATTTAATCTTGAGATTTTAAATTATGATTGTTACAATTACAGCGCGCTGTAGTGCGCGTTTGGTCTCTTAAACGAACAAGGCACAGTTCAGCCACTCGCTGAACGTAACATCACTGTCAAAAAAAATTGTTCGACAGCCGTGAGACGGGAATTGGTTCAGCTCGTGTGATTGGTAGCCCGGCTTCGCCTCGGCCTGCCAACAATTTCACACTCGTGAATATTCCGTTCACTGTTATCGAAATATACTATTCTACACGCGAAATTGTATTTCACAATCGAAATTGTATTTTACCTAAAGACTTGGTAAATGAAGTGTGCAGCATATCTGTCCGTAAACCGGCACTTTACAGGCACTGTGCGACAAAAAAATCATATCATTTGGCATTTTTAGCGACTGTGAGATTTACAGCTGAAGGTGAGGGATGTAATCACACTTGTCAAAAACGTCATTTACGACGACTTATTTAAAATTTGTTCCCGCACAACGTCTGCAAACTGGCAATTTACACACATGTAGCGTGTGTAAAGTGCTGGTTTGCCGGCTGGCGTGCGACAGTATGTCTACTATTTTGATCTTCTGAAACGATATCACTTTTCACACTATCAGGGTCATTGTGGACTTGGAATTTACAGAATGTTCTCAATATTATTTCAGTATCCATGAATCCATATCGACAAACTCTTTTCATACGGACGGTCACAAATAGGGGAGGGTGGGGCAAAACGGCCCCCCTTCAATTGTCAATAACTTGTGAATGACATTGTGAAAATTCCCAGTTTCAACTTCATTTTGAAGATAATTTTTCATTCTTCAAAACGAGCTCCAACTCATCCCAATCGGATTATTGAATCGGAAAATATTGACGATTGAAGGGGGACCGTTTTGCCCCATCCTCCCCTATAGTTTATTTGAGATATTTTTATGTATGCAAAGATCCAATTGTAAGTTGTGGTTACAATTTCAGAAATAATCATGTATCTTGTAAATAAATGCACGGATTTGGATGATTATAATGGAGTAGATTGCAACTAGGAGTGAGCGTATCCAAAAATGCGGAACCTTGAAATTCCACCATCCGGGGCGATTGTTAATCGCACATGGCTCACTGGGCCGTGCCAATCCAAGTCCTCAGAGGCGTAGACGTGAGGCTTGTGAGCCGATAACTGTAAAAACATGAGTTTTGAATAGAGTATTGTTGACGATTATTAGAGGTATGAATGTGCCGAGACGAGAGCCAAAAGCGAAATTTGCATCTTCATGATTTAGCATTAGGGTGCCCGTTGGAGCACCCGTTCCGAAATTTTTGACGTACTGTCTCCTCAAAAGACTCGAAATCAAGAAAAAAAAATCTTAAAATTTCAACTCTCTATTTCAATCCTGAAACGCTCCCTAAAAGCCTTGTTTTTCACATAAGGATAAGACGGGAATAACGTTTCCTATAAGAATAACACGTTTTTCCTATAAGAATAATTGCACTATTGTAAAATGTGAACAAAGAACTAAAAATTTCCGTTAAAAGTAAATCATTTACTCAGTAAATTTCCATGTGACATAACAGAGGAAGGGGGCAATAGATTCGAATTTTCCATGAAAGTCCCCTGTTATTCTGATGGGAAAAAACAAGGCTTTTGGAGGGCGTTTTAGTATGGAGGTAGAGAGCTGAAATTATAAGAGGATTTTTTATTTATTTCGAGTCCTTTGGGGGGGCGGCACATCAAAAATTCCGGAACGGGTGCCCTAACGGTCACCCTATTGAGCATGGTCTATCAATTTGAACTAGTTAAAATTACTATTTTTCATTTTATCCACGATTGAATTTGTCAAATGAGTAGTGTTCTCATTACGGTTACCAGTTGTTCCATTATGAATGGTATTTTCAATTTGAATATATCATTATTCTGAGCCTGTGTAGAAAACTCTTCGCTCAATCACCTCTGGCTAGAGGAGAAAGATAGAGGTTCAGCCGTATCTTCGCTTGAATTTCGACACAAGGATAAATTGATCCTCAATATGAAATAATGATTTATTGTTAATGTATATCTCTAAAAATTTTCTTACCTTTTTTGTGGAGAGAATTGTTTTCCATCTGTCATTATTCTTGTCATCATCAGAATTAATGAGAATGCCCTCGACCTTGGTATTATCCGGAAAATTGCCCTTGAAGTGTGTCGTGTCGATAATGATTGAGTCTATGATACCAATATGCGCGAGTTTGAACACAGCCCACTCATTTCCAGGAACCTGGAAATTGAAGAACATAAAGATGTTTTTAACTTCAAGTGCTCTATTTATTGTTTTATTTTTGTGATGGAATCGATGTTTAAACGACTACGCACAGAAAAAATTGACACAGGAAGTTGCAATTTGGTGTGATTTTAGTTTTTACGGCGAAATCGAATGACGAATTTTAAGGATATTCAACTTTTGGGGGCGTCCATAAATCACGTGATCCAATTTTGGCTCATTTCTGACCCCCCACGTATGAAAAAAGCGTATAGAAATTTTCTATACGGATGGCGTATAGAATTTCTATAGGATTTTCGTATGTGATATTCGGATATTTCTGTACGGATATTTTTTATACAAATTATTTCTATACGATTTCTATAGGTTTAATCCTATACGACCCACTGCCACATGTATAGAAACATTTCGTATGGAGTTGCGACATTTCTCTATGTTTTTTTCTAGAGCGTTCAGACATCTTTCGTATAAAAAGAAAAATTTATGTAAAAATTTATGTATAGAAATAATTTGTATAGAAAATGTTCGTATAGAAATATCCGAATATCATATACGGAAATCCTATAGAATTTCTATACGCAATCCGTACAGAAAATTTCTATACAATTTTTTGATACGCGCCTCCCCCTCTGGTGATCAATCGTGATATTTCGTCGACTCCCCCCCCCGGCATGTTATCACATGTGTTTTTTTTTCAAAGCTCAGTATGAAAAATGATCACTTTTGAAAAAAAAAATTTTTTTTTTGTTAAAAAGACAACTCTTTTATACACGTCTAATGAACGAAAAATAATTTTATTCCAGAAACAAATCGTTGAAATATATGAGTCATAGTTTCATCTCTTAAGTATATTAATTTCAATAGTATAATGTTTCGATGTTTGATATCGATCACTCTGCAAATAGTTCCTCTTTGGAAATAGCTTTTTCTAGCGTGTCTCTTTGGAGAAAGTCCTCTCTATATTAGTACGTTTCGTACAGAAGAGACTCTGAATTCATGAGTTGTCATCAATCCAAGGATTGNGAAATATATGAGTCATAGTTTCATCTCTTAAGTATATTAATTTCAATAGTATAATGTTTCGATGTTTGATATCGATCACTCTGCAAATAGTTCCTCTTTGGAAATAGCTTTTTCTAGCGTGTCTCTTTGGAGAAAGTCCTCTCTATATTAGTACGTTTCGTACAGAAGAGACTCTGAATTCATGAGTTGTCATCAATCCAAGGATTGTTAAAACATTGTTCAACACTAACAAACACTCTACTGTCAGGNCCCCCCTAAAAAGTGTCACGTGATTAATGGACGCCCCCCTTTTGTGTAAAACTTATAAGGGACTCTGGGGGAAATCCCTTAGATGATCGCAGAAACTTCAAACAGCTAATGACAAACTGGAAATTTTGAGTTTCAGAGGAATTTTCAATCTTAGGTTTTCCTCCTCCTTTTTTTGACGTTTTGGTGGCGGAATAGTATGAGATTTCATGTTTATCGTTGTTTCTTGTATTTTGCGCTGTGGCGCCTCACGAATCATGTTGCTCGGATTTGGATGAGTTAACTATGGAGGACCGATTGGATTTTCGTGGTTTACGCCAAAATATTACCGTGCTGCGCGATAATTCTTTAGGGTTTTCCTTTTTTGAATTTTCGAGGAAATGGATAGGTGTAATTGCGATGTTGCCGCTCAATTAATGGATTATTGCAGAATAAAATGGGTTAGTTTTAGGTTTCGGTGGAAGGTCCCACGAACAATTTTGACTGTTGCTCTCGCGTGAATTGCTACCGTCGATTCAGTTTTTCGAGAAATAATCATCTATCGTTGGTGTAATTAATTAGTTTTGTTTGTTCGTTGTTTCATTCATTTTCCTTGAAGAGAAGAGTATAGTTAATAACGATTATATTAAGCTAACACCCGCTCTATCATCTCACTTTCGGCTCGGACGTCAACTCCACGCGAGTAGAAAACCTTATGGCACTTTCCCTGAAATATACTATTTCTGTAAAAATTTTGGGGCAATATAGACGCCTACATTTCAGTATTAACTATTGTTTTCCATGAGTTTCCTGTCGAATACGAGCCCAGTAACCTGTTTCCACCTCGACCTACCCCTCTCTCGCGAGCATTCTGTCACCTTTTCCTTGGCCGTTCAGATTTTTTTAAGTTTTTCATGGATTTTTGACTTTCGTTGTATTTTTCCGCTTCGAATTCATTTCGGCTTATTGTTTGCGTCGAGACAGAACAAGTGGTGCCGACAATCATCGAGTTCTTCAATTTACTAACTCCACCAAAGGAAAAGGGCAAGATAATGTACATTTTTATCCCCAGCAAAAATTGACCACGTTACAAACTATATTGCTCAATATCTCAAGAAACTATTCATCTGATTGCATTGAAATTACTTGACAGAAACGTTGAACGGAGGAAAAGCAGCGTGGCCCAGTGAGAATAAGTCCCTGCCCACCTCACGAGCGACAGTGTTGCTACATTCACTGCCACACTTGAAATGCGCGCTTAGCGGTAAGCGCCAAAGTGGCAGCAAAGCGCTCAGTTTTAACCCAGCGGCACTGCGCTAACCGTACGACGGATGAAGATGACGGCCGAGCGCGAGTAATCGAGGGTTAAACAAATGTGAATTTCTTAAAAACTGCAACACCAATTGAGTTTCAGCGATAGCACTCATTACATTTTCTATTAATTCCCAGATAACCAAGCGTACCATTGGGTTTTCAGAAGTTAGAAGCTCTGTACGGTGTACGCGTATCGTACGGATAGCGTATTGAAACACTGAACTGATCACAGCGTAATGCCACAGTAGTGGTATAGGGAGCGTACGGCGTATTGGGTTCGTATTGTATCTTAAAGAAGATTGAAAATTTAAAATTTTATCATTACCACTGTAATTAATGCTGCCATTAATGATTCCATTCGTAAGCCAAAAGAAGATTTTTCAATTTTCAGCGATGCATGTATAAAAAATGAAATATCAAGGAGGAAATATTATCATTGTTTAATATACCCAACCGCAGATCCGAATTTGGTGTCTCCAGTACCTTCCGAATTTTCTCACAAGTGTATTAGATCACTGACGAGACCCCATAATGCTCTAGAAATAGTATATTATGTCATCAGGCGATAAAAGTATTATCTGAATGTGATTATAATCCTCGCCTTCGGCTCGAATTATAAAGCCACATTCGCCAGATAATGCTTTTATCGCCGTGTGACATATGATATTTTATGTCGTTGGGTTCGAAAACCGCGATCTAACCGAGCAAAGCGAGGTTAGAATCGCAGTTTATCGGGCCTAATGACATAAATTGATTTTTCACCCCAGCGGGCACAAAGTGCACATTTCCTTCCGATTTCGCGGAAGGAAAGTAGGGGAGGGTATGCCTGTACCGCCCACCTGAGGGGAAATGCCAGTTTTATATTTTATATTTCAACTTGAGTATAAAGAACGTATTTGTGAGACTTCTTTAACTATTGAACTCGTTATTCTCGTCATGTAGACGCCTAATTCTCCTTAGAATTCACAAAATTGATTGAAAATAAAAGAGAGAGCCTATTGAGCGGTACTACCCGCCGTCGGGTAATACCGCTCGGCACGATTCCAATGCCACTCATAGGGTTTTGCGTGTATCGCTCGCGCCGAAACCTAACCTATACTCGAGTGCTGTCGAGCAACTACGTGGCCGATACTACGAGCGGTATTACCGGCTCCGCTCGGCGTGAACAAAATTGCTGATAATTATTGACATGAGTGGAGTTTTGAGTTCGAATTGGTCTCAAATTACGCGTTAAAGTACCACGAATCGAATAACCGCAGTTTAATATGAGAATTCAGCGTTTGAAACTATCAAAAACCTTGATTACAAGTCCACAAATTTTGCACTGTAAAGACCTCAAAACTTCGTTACGTGTTTTTTCATATTTAAAGTGGTAAATAAAGTGAAATTTTCCCGATAATCACATCCTATCATCACATTCTTCATGATCAGGAATAGAAAGAAATTTTTAAGTTGATGGTTGTGGAGAAAATCGGGTGAGCGGTATTACCCGCTCAGCGATACAGGCACACCCTTCCCTATATCGGTCTGACAAGCTTAAAATCCTCGCGCTCAGTTCGAGTGGTAATTCTGCATGTGGGCCTGACTCCTTCATTGTATGTTATTATATATCAGGTTGTTGTTATACATTAGAAATATACTGGATCTACACGTTTTCCATCTATAGGATTTTCCACAAAGTTCCTTCAAAATGCATTTAAGTCTTTTCAATGGCTAACTATAATTATAAAAATTTGATTGTTATATAAACTAATTGGATAATTCAAAATATTTTTTTAGAAAACTTTCGTCCCAACGAACAAGGTCCCTCGAGATTTTCTCCTAAGATCATTTTTTTCGAGAGAAACGTATGATCGACAAAGTAACAGAAGTGCCAGACTCCACACTTGCATTTCCCTAATTCCCCCGGAATATCCTTGAAATACTACCTGCAGAATTCCGGAGTTATCGACTTCGATAATCGGCGGTCTATCAAGTCGCCTCGCAGTCTCCCAACCATCAGCCATGGTTATCCCTCTTCCAGGTCTAATTATGTTCCTCGGGTGACCATAGTGAGCATTGCTGTAGTGCTCACAGATTCCTCCATTTTCTTGGGCCACCAGGTCGGTTAAAGCGTCGGGATTGAGTGGATTTGAACAGACGGTGCCGTACACTCTCAACCTTGCGACTCCACCGTCGGGGAAAAGATTCAGTCGGAGGTGGGTCCAAGCAAATGTTGAGGAAGACGCAATGTAGTTGTGACGTGTCTCGGGGCATCCGGAACCTAGTTCCGTCATTGGTACTATTGTCTTCCAATTCTAAAAACGTTTGGACAATAATTTACTATAATAGAATGAGAAAATAACACAAATAAAAAGAAGACTAGGAGGATGGTGTCTAATCCCTGAGTCGATGCGATAGTGCGTTGTAGATATCACTAGAGATGTATTTCTGATAGAGAATACAAAGAATCAAAAGAAAATTGGAATTTTTATTTTCAAAGAGAAGCCCTTAACGTTTTTTGCCACCCTTTTCGGCAAGCATAGCTTATTGTTAGCTATGCATAGACAGTATATGATTTTTTACATACATATACATACAAAGTGTTTTTGAACTACTAATAAATCTTGCGTCCAGTAATGGATTTAATCTCCCGGAACTCGGGAAAAATGCGAAAACAAATATTAATTAAATAGTTTGCAAATTGTTAATGTTTAAAATCGACCAATTGGAAGTGTGTATTTTACCGCGACAGAGTAGGCAGAGGTAAGTATGTACGCTATTGGCAATATCCCTAGATGATAGAGGGCAAATTTTCATGTGATTGAGCGACGTGATTTTTCGTCATATCTGCACGGAAAGTTCGATTTTCGTCCTCAAATGATGACAGGAAAGCGACTTATTTCATTCTTCGAATTTCTGTTCTTTTCGACGATTCTCGGAATGACATAGTTCACGTTCCTCCCTGCATTTACGAAGAAAAAACGAACTATACCGTGCAGTTTTGGCGAAAAATAGTATGTGCACCTAGAAAGGAAAACGAGACATAAAAACCCGTGTGTTTACCGCGGTTAATCCACACGTACGTTGGAATCTCCTGTTTTCCTTCCTTGATGCACAATCTACTACATATTTCGAATTTTAAAAAATGAAAATTTCTTTTTCAACTTTCCACGTAATGCACGGAGAGAAATTTTTAATAAAAATTATCCTACCATTCTATAAAAGTGCATCATGAGTCATCGTTTCCTAATTTCTATCCCTAAATTTAGTAAAAATTAATATATGTTGATCAAATTTTTTTTTACGTTAGAGAAATTTTCTCCTGACGCATAATAAATTTTATCCTTCCAGTCCAATAATTTTTATGTAGATAACAACGAAAATTCTAGAACAGTTGGTAAATTCTACCCTACCGATACAGTAATTTTTACTCTACCGGCACGGTAATTTTTATTTTTATCAGGATAAAATTTCTCTACGGTAGAATAAAATTTGATCATATATTAATTTTTACGAAATTTCAGGATAGAAATGAGGAAACGAGTATTCATAATACACTTTTGTAGAACGGTAGGATAATTTTTATTAATAATTTCTCTCCGTGTGCATTAGAACCAATCGATATTTGAATCAGTACCGATTTTAACACTTGAATTAATATACAGCAATCAACATGGTACCAATTCTTAAGTGCATTCATGTACCACTAAGAAGTATTATTCTGTGTATCGATTCGAGTATGGAAGCTAATACCGACAGGCCAAGACGGATTGATTTCAATATTCAATGCGTAACAAATTCATATTTGCATTGTTGCTTATTGCAATACTTGATTCGATACCCAAAAAAATATTTCTGGTGGTGCGTAAATTAATTTCCAAAACGATACTTGTGTGAAAACCGAGAAGGTTATGTACCACCAGAAGTATTTTTCTAGGTATCAAATCAAGTATTGAAATAATAAATAGCGATGTAAATATTAATTCATGTCACGGATTGAATGATGAATTTCATGACCCTTGGCCTATTGATATTTGGTGTAATAATTGAATGAATACCCAGAATGAAACTTGAGTGATGCATGAATCAACTTAACTCTATAGTGCAGTCAAATTAGTCTCAAAAATAGCCAAACCTAGTAATTAAGCCTCCGTCCATGAAAAAATAACCATTAGATAGATAAAAATTTCCTGAACAACATATCAAATTGTTCAATAACAGATTGATGTACTAGATATTAAAAATAATTAAAAAAGAGTCGTTTTCGTTCGGGTCAATGACAAAAACATTCGTAGTTTCAGCTAAACTCCATCGATTGAAAAAAAAACACATACCACATTGTAGAGGAGCTAATTCCACATGAAAATGATATGAGGAGTGATGTTCTAGGATGAACAGTTTTTCCGTGACAACCCTCAGAAGTTTTTTTAACCTTAATTTTGTATTATTGCCGAATTCCTCCCCGAGATCCAGCCCCTTTCTGTGCGCGCATCTTTAGGGCAAGAGCGGTATGCGCAGTCGATTCAAATATACATGTGCTTGATTATTCCACGACGTACGTGAAGGTTTTGCGATTTATTCGTCTTAATCAATTAATTCAATCATTTCAAGTAACACCAAAATGTAGGTGCCTAAAGTGCACTGTGGCTAGACAATTTACTCCCAACGCCGCTTTGTAGTGGAAACTGATAACAATGAAAGGGCAATTAGGTCGCCCTCCTCATGATGATTTCCATAATGGGGCACAACCAGTTTGTGGAATTAATTCTACTTTACCTGTACATTCAGGTTGGATGGTGCAATACCAGGGATTGTATGCATCACTGGAGTAATGATATTTGGGATCCTTTATTATAATGGATCCGTTATTATAAATATATAATCTAGAGTTACTATTATCTACATTTTTGCATGGAAAACTTGTATTCTGAATGATATTTGAACAACTATAACGATGTAGTCAATAAGAAGGGATGACGAAGGAGAAATATATGGTCCGCAAAATGAACTATTTTTTTTTTATTACTATAAAGGGAAAACTCTATCGATAATATTTTACTTCTTAATTATTGAAGATTTCTTTTCAACTGATCAATTTTCCCCATGGTGTATAGAATTCCTAAACAATTCCTGAATATTCCTGTTCTTGAAATTTTTTTTTGTAAATTTATACAATTTTTTGGGCAACTAGGAAATAAATATACTCATTTTTGGAATTTGAACACTTCCTACTCTATTCAATAATCTGAAAATTATTTTTATAATATTTCCATGTATAAAAACAAAAATTAAAACAAAAATTTCCATTTTTTTTGTTGCTTTCCAAAGGCAATATTTTCAGAATTTTTTTCTAATCGATCACCCGTTGCTCGCAAAAATATATGGAAAATCTCGGTCAACTGCCGTTTATAGGTCTTCGGGCAATTTTGATTGTCATGAATAAAAATAACAGTACTTCTTATACGTATAAAATTAATTAAATAAATAAACGAAAGGGAGTATTCAATTTCTATACCCATTAAAAAATTACAAGTTGGTTGATGAATTCATTTTATTCATAAAATTAATTTGAGCGTCCTCTGTAGTAATATTTTGTTATATTTAGGAATGAAACAATATTAACAATGAAATATTACCAATATTGACCCAGAAGACTTTGCCAAAAGTGTTTGATAAAGTTTTCTCAGTCAATAATTGCTTATTTCTATTGTTTAATTCCGAAATATAATCGAATGCAAATGTAGAGAAGACTCAAATATGTATGTTATGAATGAAATTAACCGGTTTATAATTATTTAATGGATGCAGGAATTGATAACCCACTGCCATCTATGTACTTAAGTAATTATATACATATAAGAAGTATTCTTATTTTTATCTAGGACAATCAAAATGTTATTAGCCCTAATAATCTTGTGACACTTCTTCTTTTTAATTGTGTCATTTACTCCTATATTTTTTTCCGGCTTTCTTCTCAGTTAAAACATTCACGAAGTTCGAACTCCTCTGCGAAGTTCCATGCACAGTAGGCAGGCCCAGAAAACATTTTTTCCGAATTTCAATTTTCAAGTTTACGGAAACGAAAGCTCATTAGTTCAAATGACTGTGTGATTTTTTTCCGATTTTTAGAACCATATTTTGAGCTTCCGCAACGATTTGGAATTTGTTATGACGTTATACACGTGAAAAAGTCAATTAAGTTTCGAATCGTGATTATATGAGTAAACTTTTCATATTTTCTTGAATACTTGGTGGGAAACTATTGACAAATAATCAAATAATATGAATAATGCTCTTTCGCAATTTCCATTCCATTTGTTAACGAATAAAAGTGGATCATTTTTGCTGAAAATGGACATTTTTGGGGGCTTCCAGAGCCCTCCGAAATCGATCCAGTCCTTTTTTAATTCCGTCAAGTGATAGTTTAACTATCTCATCGTCATTCTCCAAAAGAAGGATAATTTTCAACAGGTCCAAATTCGAGAAAAATGCAAAAGAAAATTGTTAAACTTTTAGGCTCCGACAGGTGCTGGGAGTGTCCGGTGTTTTTATGGAGGGCCATATACTGAAATGGAGAAGGTTAGTCCGCTGGCCCAGCCTTCTCTAGCACAGGTCGATTTTTTTCTTTCTCTCCGTAATAAATAACTGGTTTATTCGTTTTTCAATATTAAGTTTGTCAACTCTTTTGGAATTTAACTTGACAAACAACATCGTTAAATTCCTCAATACATTACGATTTCAACGTCACTCGGTTCATTGTTATAGCTCAATTAGAAGTGGAGTTGTTTTATTGAAACTATTTTGAATGTTCATAGAGTTTAGAAAATGTATTATTACGCTGTATTTTTTTAAATCATACAAATTTAATATAAATGTGATATACATTACTTATCGCTAGAGTAACTCATAAAAATAATTGTTCATAATACTGTGGGTGCTTCAGAACGATTGGATATTTCTCGATAGTTTCTTTGCAAATAAAGGAGGGTGTTATGTTTTGCAAGTTCAAAAATCCCGAGTGCGAAGCGCGAGTGATTTCTCCTCAAATAATTTTGAAGCTCAAGTGGTAATCGGGGGCATTATTTTTTCTCTCAGGATTTTAATCAGGAGAATCGTAGGCAGAAAATTCTTCGTTGCTCTGAGCAATGGAACCGAAAAAAATTATCAAAAAATGATCGCTGTAAAACCGTGTATGTCTTATAGAAAAATATTTCACTGTTCCGAAATTTAATTTGTGCACTCCGCTGATTGAATGAAATAATTTGTCTAGCATATCTTGGAACTCGATCTCTTTCACTTGCGCTACTAAATATTT